AACCTAGAAATCTATGAATCTATGAATTGTGAACAGCCAGTTGAGGTTAATGTGGTTTTATTTCTTTCCTGGGCTTCATCTGTCCCAGCTGGTGAGAAAGAACAGATGAGACTTGTACTCTGTTCACAGCTTACTACTGGGTGTACTACCGAGCTCCCTGCTGCGGACACAGATATCACTTCTATCTCTATTTGAGTTGGCTGTGTCGTTTCGAAAGAGAAGGTGTATGGCTGTGGGTGCAAAGTGGTGTGTAGTCACCCAGAGCCCCATCCCTTTGCAATTCCCTGAGACTCCACTGCAAGCCCTGCTGTCTCCCCCTCTTCAGGAACCACTTCTATGTTTTACCTCTTGAACCTTTCCTGGAGATGCCTTTCTGCTGGCTGATGGATGGGACGTCTCAGCCTGGGACGCTTCATGCAGCCAGGAAGGTTGTTCATCTCTGAGTTTTCAGTGGCTTTTTTTCCTGCTGGTGGTAGGGAATGGTTGTTTCTTCCCCACATTTATAACAAAAAATAGTATGCCGTGACTGTTCATTGTCTTCTTACGAAAAGGATAGAGTGGGCACAGACTTGTACCTTATCTATGCCACAATCTGAGCGTGATCAGGGAACAAAAGTGCCTGTCAGTCCCCTAGCTCCATGCTGACATACAGTGATATGTATGCTCTTTAGTAACCTGCAGAGGTTTTACTGTGCTGGTTCCCAAAACAGATTGGTTATATTGGGACAAAAACTGCATAGGAATGAGCCTTTTCATTAAAGTTTCATTAAAATAATGAAAATGCAGTATCTGCAGAATATTTCCAGTCATGACGAGGCTCTGAAATCTTGTCCCAAGCCATCAGTAGTATTTCACATGGAGTATCCGAGTGATGTATCGCAAGCGAACTATTTCGAGTCTGTTTTGTTTACAGTTCTGGTGTTGGAAAGAATCAAAAAGCACTTCCATGTCGCACATGCGGATGTATAAACAGGCTCACAAAATCAAACCTGCCCTGGTCGCTCCTGGTGATTTCTTTGGGAAACCGCCGGTGACTCAGGAGCGTTTTGCAAACACCCTGGTGCAGAAACACGCCGTGTGTTTCGTGTTACTCCGGCGGGGGTTTTGTTCGGAGTTTTCAACCCTTCCTGCTGCTCTAATGAAAGCAGGTTTGTGGGGCACGCATCCAGAAAACCTGTGCACGTCCAGCGGTTGATGTTGCAAGAGCTGCTGGCAAGCGGAGCCTCTCTAGGTGGCTGCGTGGTTCTGCTGGGTGGAGTCTAAAACCAGAAATTTTTTCCTGATTATTTTAGAGTGTGCTAATTGATACCTGCTGCAAACTGAATTTTTTCTGTTTGAAACGTTATAAAACTTTGTATCCCCAGCTTCTTATTCCCACCATGTGCTGCCCCCTCAGCTGTGCCTGTCCAAGTGCTGGTTTCAGTAAATGGCATCCAAAAAATGAATGGGTTTTAAACCAAACAAAACCCAAGCAAACAACCAAAAAAAAAAAATTTTCCCAAGCGCAATTTCCAAACTAAGTCAGGTTCACCATGCAGTCCCCTGGAAAGCAGAATGAAGTCAATCAGGGGGGTTGGTGCACCTGGAGGGATGGGATCGGCTGATGGGGGCTTTTGAGATGTCCAAAATCATCTAAGGGGCATCATATCAGGAGACATGGATTTGGGCAGGGAGGCTGGTGCGAGAGGCTCCTGCCCTGGCTGCTTCCCCCTCCGCCTTCCCAGCGATGCTGTGCTACTTAACAGTTTCTGAGGCCACGCTGGAAAACACCTAGCTGAAATTGTGGTTTGAAACCACCCCCTTTCTTACAAAGAGCTGCTTTGACAAAGTTGGCATGAGGGGGTTTTGCGGCGTTGGGTGGCTGGAGTGGTTGCTGAGCCAAGCTTGGTCTGACCCTATTGTTCGTTTCTTGTTTCCTCTCCAGAATCGGACGGCTTTTTGATGGCACGGAGCCCATTGTCCTCGACAGTCTCAAGCAGCATTATTTCATCGACAGAGATGGGCAGATGTTCAGATATATCTTGAATTTTTTAAGGACATCGAAACTCCTCATTCCTGATGATTTCAAGGTGAGATTTCCAGGGACTTGGGTGTTTTGCATGAGGGTGGTGAAACATTGGAACAGGTTGCCCAGAGGAGTTGTGGATGCTCCATCCCTGGAGGGGTTCAAGGCCAGGTCGGATGAGGCTTTGAGCAACGTGATGTAGTGGAAGGTGTCTCTGCCTGTGGCAGGAGGGTTGGAACTAGATGATCGTTAAGGTCCCTTCCAACCCAAACCATTCTAGGATTCTGTACCTTGGTAAAGCAATTATCTGTGTAGTCAAAACAGAGCCCTAGACGGGGGGGGGCTTGCAGAGTCATTCTGTGCTTCATTTCAGGTATGTGGCAAAGGGAAGCGTGGGGTTGCTAAAGTGGCATCTGTCAGCCTTTCCTAGAGTGGCATCAGTATTGAATTTTCCCCTCCTGGCTATAGCGTAATGGAGCAACCTTGCCACGTTTGACCTAGGGAAATTAAATATCGTAGGATGCTGATGGAGACAGAAGGGATGTTACAATCTGGAACCGACTGCTCATGAGCTTTGCTGATTACTTGTCCTCTCAACTGCTTTTATGCTTTCCCTCTGATTGCAGCAGCTCCAGCTTCCACTCCCACGCTGAAATTCAGAGAATGGTGTGGGAATCACAGTATTGACAAAATAAACTGCACACATGGTAATATTTGAGCATTAAGTCATAGAATATTTTCTCCCCCAGACTCTTGAATGCATACTGCAAGTTTAATTTGGGAGTGCTAGAGATGTCAGGGCTGAATAGTTCCATATGTGTTATATATACTTTCTTAAAGAGCTTGTGTTTTTTTTTTTCTTTTTAATAACAAACTAAATTTGTGGTAGTTCACCATACTAGATGTTAGCTTGCAGAGGCAGAGCTTCAGGCTCCGTGTGCTGTTCTGTGTTTATCCGCTTGTAGGTGTGTGGGTGTATATGTAGTGTCAGCGAAGTGAGCGCTGGAGACTGCAGTTGCAATCAGAACAGATTTTTATCATTACTTAATGAATGCCTATCAACGTAGCTGACTGTGCCATTAGTTCACCATAGGAAATACAGCGATTCAGATGGGACAGGAGAGGTGATAGGGAAGGGTTAGAGCAGTTTATACTGGCATGCAGTCTTTTATCCCTCATATCTGAGGCAGATTTTCAGGTGTTTGGGGCATAATAGGTATGAGGTTGAGTATTGCAGCAACCTTTGAATTATCTGCTGTAGACAAATACTTACTTCTTCCATGTGTCACAAGGGTAAACTTACCTGAATAACGTGGGAGTTTGGAACTAGCCGACAAGCATCATATCTCTCTTTTGAAGCCTTAGTGTGGTTTTGTGCAGCTCTCAGCGTTTGTCCTGAAGTTAATCAGAAATACAGAAAAAAGGAAAAGCTGCCTTCTATGCAATATTAAGAAATTATATATGCAGAGCATTTTAAACACATCAATATACTGTAGCTGTGCCCAACTAACATGATGATCAAAGGACTGTCCCCAGTTAAGGCTTTAAGTTGTCCAAAAGATTAGTGCTTAAAATGAACAATGGTCCTTGTTTCTTAAAAATATATAGATTAGATGACTTTTTTGATATACAGTAAAGGTAAGCAGTATTTTGAGCATGATTTAGGCGTCCTATTCTCATAAAGCATTCTGTCCGTAGCTCAAATTCAGGGCCATATTGACTGTTAGCAGTCTTCCTTTGTTGTCATTCTGTTCCCTAATTTTCATGTAATGCTCTTCTCTGTATAAATATTTTCCAAATGGTCTTACACTCTTAAACCTAGAAAAACAAGATTATTTTTTTTAATTTAAAAAATGGCAGCAGACAGACTCCAGATCATCAGTTCTAAATTATTTCTGTACTGGCTGCGCTTAGAAATGCGTTCTCTCCGCTCTGGCGTTTGAGACGATGTAGGAAACAATACTGTTGGCAAAATGGGGAGGTATTAAAAAATACTTAATTTTTAAAATGTAGTAATATGTGCAATTCATTATGCAAATATCTGAATCATTTTACACTTAGAACCATCGCAGGCTCCCTCATTTACATTCTTATACCTGTTACAATGCCTGCTAGTGTTGCTGTAAGACGCGATGGATCCTAGTGATGAATTTTCTGAATCCTGATTGAATTTTGTTCCATCTGTTCAATGAGGTCATTATTCTATGACATCACTATGGGGATAAAATACAGGAAAAAAATAGGATTTTTGCCTGGATTGTTCCGCAGCAGGAGGGAGCTGAGCAAGCACAGCCTCCCCCCAACTCCCGAACGCTGCTCTACTCGGTCTGTTTCAAGTGGCCGATGGTTATTTTTTGCTTGCGCCGTTATTTTATTGCACTTTCTTGCACAGTAATTGCAAACTATGTCTGAAGGGTTCCAGATCTAGAGCAGCGTTAGCCCGAATAACCATATACATTAAGTGGTACCTTAGCAATGCCCCTTTCTTAATTGTGCACAGTAATACATGTGTCTTTCAGGACTACAGTTTGTTATATGAAGAAGCAAAGTATTTCCAGCTTCAGCCCATGCTAGGAGAGATGGAGAGGTGGAAACAGGACCGGGAGAGTGGCCGCTTCTCAAAGTCTTGTGAGTGCCTGGTGGTGCGAGTTGCCCCAGATCTTGGAGAGAGGATTACGCTGAGCGGCGATAAGTCATTGATAGAAGAAGTGTTTCCAGAAATCGGTGACGTGATGTGTAATTCTGTCAATGCCGGCTGGAATCATGACTCAACGCACGTCATCCGATTTCCACTGAACGGATACTGTCACCTCAACTCAGTTCAGGTAGGAGGTCACATATGCATTTTTTGCAAGGGGGCCTGCTGGCCAGGTATCAGTGGGTTGACCCTCCTTCCTGTCACTGGAGAATTTCAAGGAAGAAAATCAGCTGGAGGCTTTGGGCTAGTTATTTACTTCTATGAGACAGGGCTGCTTTTTCAACTTATTTCACACATACCATCACCAAATCTCTTTGCAAAACAAACTCTAGTAGTGTTAAAAACCTGCTTTAGGAGGTACATGTTTGCCTCAATATAAAGACATTGTATATTTGGAGAAACATTTTTTTGACACTTGAGGCAACCATTCAAGCCTTCCTCCAGTCCCTTGCCCTGCTTGTTATAAATTGTTTTCTGGATTGATGAGAGGGCACAGGGACATCTCAAGCCAGAGAGGGAACATGCCACATCCCCACAGAGCTGCTGTGAGGGCACTGGGCTCTGTCCCTTCACCTGAGAAAGGCAGTGGAGATGCTCTGATTTACCAGAGTCCCCAGGAGCTCTGAAACTAAATAGGAATGATAGAGGAGCAAAACTGTGAAGCCCTGGTCTCTTATCCTGGGGAAGTGATGGGAAAAGAGAATTAATGTGAGAAAGAGATGACTGGACAGTAACATTGGCCAGCTGCTGAAAGGAAGGCCACTCTTCCACAGGGGGA